TCTGTCACGTGGGGTCACTATGAGTTGAAAATCGATTTGATGGCGCCTAACAGCAACAACAGCAGGGTTGTAGTGAGGACACAGATATTGCATGCAAAATGCCCAGCACAGTGCCTGGCATGTAAAAGACCCTCAGTAAATGTTAGCTATTAATAGTATTAAGTGCTCAATATGGGTTTGTGAAACTAAGCTCTTGAACTTCCCATCTGTCTTGTCTGTCTGTCAAGTCTTGTCTGTCTTGTTCAACCCATGCATTCTGGTACCTAGCACAATCCTCCACATATAACTAGAGCTCAACACAAAATTCAAAGTATTTAATGAATTAAAGGCTTCAGTTTTTGCAGCAGTAAAACAAGAGGACCAGCTTAGGAAATCCCTGAGCCCAGCCCCCTCCAGCTGAGACAGGCTAGTATTCCAGGGTGACCCCAGGAGCCCCCGGAGATGAGCTCCCCTTAGTGATGCTCACACTGGCCTGTCCTATCCTCGCCTGCTGTCAGACATCCTGGGGCCATGCTGATAGGGCAGATGTCACTGGGTCCACTGTGGGGACAGGTCAGGCAAGAGGAAGTGGGCACCAGTGTTTGCATGGACTGTGATGGGCTCAGGGGCCCAAGACAGAGCCCAGCTTGTTGGGGTTGTTCGAGGCACCAGTGTACTACCCAGGAGCTGAGGATAGAGATAATCTTCAGTCGTCACCAGTCCTCTGTCCAGAAAGACACTCATCCCCAAACAAAATGAGAACAGCAGAAAAAAGATGCCACCACCTTAAGTTAATGGATAAGGGGCTCATTTGGGGCAGAAGGAAGCCAGGTCCCTTTTCCAGCCTGAGCTCCACTTGGGTGGGTATTCTGCCCTCCCCCTTCCCAGATGGCATTGCTAGTTGGGAATCCATGATGAGGACTCACATGTGAGGTCAGAGTCAGTCTGTCTGTACAATAAGAAAGGTCAGAGGACATTGCGTTTCTGTTAATGGTAAAATAGTTTGGAAACAGGTAGGGGTGATGCTTGTCCAACAAGATGAACGTAATGTCACCGAATTGTATATAGAAAAAATATTGAATTGGCAAATGTTTTCTTATATATATTTTTACCACAATAAAAAATTTTTTTTTAAAGAAAGGTCAGAGGGAAGGTGTAAGTGCCTTTCCAGGCAAACCACATGTGGGAATAGTTTGGGGAGCTGGCTGTGCCTAAACCAAACCAAAATCAAACCAGCTGCTGTCAAGTAGATTCTGATTCATGTCAACCCCATGTGATACAGAGCAGAACTCTGCTCCATAGGGTTTTCTTAGCTGCAATCTTTATGGAAGCAGATCTTCAGGCCTTTCTTCCATGGTGCCTCTGGGTGGGTTTGGACTGGCAACCTCTCGATCAGTAGCCAAGTGCAAACTGTTTATACCACCCAGGGACCTTGGCTGCCTATAGTTCGTGCCAATTTCTCTCTACCTAGATTTTGGGGTCCATGGGGCATTGGAATTGGAGCCATTTGAGCATGGGCCATGAGCAACCCTTTGCTTCGCTGGGACAGGGAGAGAGAACTGGCATTTGTAGGACCAGAGGGTGATCAGACATGCCTACCCGACAGAAGACTCTAGGTCCGTGAAGGGTAGATTCACATAAGAAGAGCCTGGGGCTGAAACTGCATTCTCTAAACATAGTGGGCTGCCCCCTTATCCTTCCTCTTGAGGCCTTCAAGTCTTCTCCATATGAAGAGCAAAAGCGCATGACGCCACGTAACTTAGCATAAAGAATGGTAAGCTTAGTGTCTGTCTTCCCCTACAGAACGTAAGCTCCATGAGGACAAGGCCCAGGTGTGTCTTGCTCACTGCTGTGCCTGCAGTGCCTGTGATGTGGGAGACAGTCACTGTACTGTTTTTGAAAGGAGGGAGAGAGACAGGGAGGGAAGAAAAGGGGAAGCTGAGTCAGCAAAAGGGGAGCCCATTTTCCTACTGTGTATCACCTAAGAGCTGGGAGGGCAGAGAGAAGAACCCCAGTGTTGGAGTCCCTGTGCACCGTGGCCAGGACACTGTGCCCAGTTTCCAGAGAAGGCCTGGAGAGAGGGCTGAAATTGTTGACCCTTTAAATCCGGGGTCAGTGCAAACATTTGTGGAGAAGGGGAGCTCTGTCCCTGTCACTGGGGGCCAGCAGGTCCTCGGCTCAGAAAAGCAACCTTTCTCTCACCTCCTGTCTTTCTCTTCCCAGGCCCTGTTCCCCTTCCATGGGACCGATGGGCAGGGGCGCAAGGGCCTCCCTCTCTTTCCTTCCTCTCCAGGGTCTCCCCAGTCTCAGGAGGTAGTTCCTCTCCCCCTTTCTTGCACACACAGCCTGACTGCTGGCTTGTCTCTCAGTGAGCTGGTTAATAAGCCCGTGGGTGACATTAATTGCCATCAGGCATTAAGGGCCTAATGAGAATCATCTTCCTTGACGACTCCAGCACCTTCCATCCCCAGGGCCTGGGAGACCTCGGCCAGCCCTCCCCATGCTGCACCTCTGAGTTCCAGACAGATGTGAGGGTGGGGGAGGGGCTAGAGCCTCTCTCCGCAGGCCCCAGCGCCAAGCTGAGGCAGCAACAGCCAGCATCCTGGGAGGAGGGAGGCTTCCAGGAACAGCCCAAGCGCATTTTCCAAAAAGGAAAGGTCACTTTTCTGGGATGAAAAGGGAACTCGCAGGCTCAAGAGGGCTAGGACCCAGTCATGCAGACGGGGAAAGGGGGTGGTGAGTGTTGAGCACCCCAACTGGCTTGACTCTGACCCACCTCACCCCACATGCTCAGTCTGGTTGGGTGCAGCGGTGTAGGGGGTGACCCTCAAGATCCACAGGCACACCTTTAAGGGCCATGTTCATAGGAACTTGAAGATCCCATCCCTCTCAAGAAGGAAGGTGCTTGAGATCCGGCCCCTGTGGGCTGGGGCGTGATACCCAATGATGATATAAAATCATTGCCATTGATCCAGTGCCTGGTTGACGGTTGACTTGTCGGGTCTGATCTGGGTTGCGCTCTAAGGGAACGGGCCCAACGGTGGGAATGAACGCCACCCCGCTAACCCTCCCCCTTCATGAGTAGGTGCTGGGTGAGTGTGCAAGACGGACAGTTCCCACCCCCACCCCATGCCCATTTAAAGGCTGACAAAACAACCTGTAGGAAGTATGTCCCCTCCTACTCGCCTGCCCCCACCACCGGAAGGGGTCTCCCCCTAGCTGCATCCTCCACCCATCCTCGCGCTTAGCTGAGCCCACGAGCTCCCACAAGGCCCGAGAGGGGCTGGGCACGGCAGCTCGCCGGGTTCCCACCCGGTGCCCTGAAGAGCCCCACGCAGACTCTGGGGGTGGGGGTAGGGTGCCCCTCCCCGCGCCTCTGGCTGAGCCGTTGCAAAACACCTTCGGCGCCCGGCGGGGCGTGTGCATCCTTTGCAAATGGACAAGGCGGCTGCGGTGGCGTCTACCCTGGAGAAACGCAGCCGCCGCAGCCGACCGGCCCTGTTCTGGCCCCAGCGCTAGCCTGCACTTGGGGAGGAAAAATAAAGCAGAAAAGAGGGGCGAACGGAATCGCGAGGTCGGCCCTTGCCCCAGTCTCCTTAAGGCGCCGCGCGCGCCCCCCAGGCTGGGAATACAGAATGGACACGTGGACGAGGGAGGGGGATATGGGAGGGGGGGGTCTCCGTGGCGCGCGAGCTGTGGGCTGCGCGCTCCGAGGCCACGTGACTACGGGGAATCTGGGAGGGGAGGAAGGGAGCTAGCGCGCCCGGCTCCGCGCCCGCTGCTGCCGGAGTGGGCGCTGAAGCCCGGACGCGGGAGGAGGGCGGGAGAGCGCGAGTGTGTGTGTCTCACTCGAGTCATTTACGGCGGAGCAGCCGGCGCGAGGGCCGAGGAGGCGGCGGCGGCGGCTGCTGCTTCTTGCAACTGTGGCTCCCCCCACCTTCTCTTCCTTTTCGCTCCTCGATTCTTCTTCTCCCCCCACACACGTCCATGGGGAGCCGGCCCCCCTGCTGGCACCTCCTCTTCGCTCGGCCGGGTAGGCATCAGCTGCCGCCTCCCCGGCCGCGGGCTGCGCGGGTGCCGGGTATCCCGGCTCCTGGCGCGGCGCCCGCGTCTTGCCGCCCGCAGCCCCGGCTGGCGCGGCGCTCCGCTCGCTCAACTGACTCTGAGAGAGCGACAGCCAATGCCTAGCTGCATCGAGACGGCGGGCGAGCGGGCGAGCGGGCGTCCGGGGGCAGGGCGAGGGCAGTGGGCTCGCCGGCAGGGAGAAGAGGCGTCGGAGACTTTGAACCCCGGAAAAGTTCGAGGTTTATGCAGGTTCCCCTGGGGCAGCGCTCCCCTCTGCTGAGACAGCGAGACCTGGGGGTAGAGAGAAACGACCTGGAGCTGTCGCGGGCTGGCCAATCCGCTCGCCATCCTGCAACGCTTACGACCAGGAGGCTTGAATCAGCGCCCTGGGCAGGACAGGCTCGGATCGGGGAGCGTTACCCGGCTTTCCCTCTTCTCTCGTCGAAGCCGCATCTCCATGGGGCACCCCGTTCCGGCCGCGCCCCGCTCGCCCCAGTGGCGGTGCGGCTGCCCGGGAAGGCGGCGCTGAGCCGGCTGGTGTAGAGCCCAGGCCCTAGTAGAGAGGAGAGAGCGCACTGGAGCCAAGGAGCGAACTCGGCAAGGGGACAGCAGCTGGCCGCCCGCCTTGGGCATCGGTCCGGGCGGCGCCCAGGATGGTGGCAATCCGCGTCGCCAGTCTCAGCACTGCACGGAAACTTTTCCTTCTCCGGATAGGTTAAAGTTGCCTGGATTTTTCTCTTTCTTTGCGAAAGAAATCATTCCTTTTCACCTGACCTGGGATTTTTTATTCTGGGGCTGCTGCAGGGCGCTTGGAGGATGAAAGCCGCGCTATCCTTGTGGGGTTATTACTGAAACCGAAGAAATTGGGGCTTGCATTGGAAATCTGCACCCTCAAGGGAGTTCGGATTCGAGCTGGGCCGCGAGGCCTGGGGATCCAGCAGTCGGCTCTAGGCAGCCCCCCGGAACGTCCGCGGCCACCAGACCCTGGGACCGCACGTGCGGCTCCCCCCTCACCGCATAGATCCTGCAGGGGGCACCAGACGGGGGAGGTGGAGCTCCTCCCGCCTGGAGCTGCGCCCCCAGCAGCTCCAAAAGGGTAGCCGACAGCGCCTGGGACGCCCCCTCCCCGCGAAGTGTCCCCAAATTGCCCTCTCTGGCCCCCGAAGGCTCAGCAGAGACAACTGGGAGCCACGGCCACCCTGAGTTGGATGTGACCAAGCCCAGTGAGAGGCCAAGTCGTTCTCTACTGTTGTCCCTCGGCCCCCTCCCGCCCCGTCCTCGGCCATGGCCCCAGGGATGTCCGGCAGCGGCGGCGCCGCCCTGCTCTGCCTCTCAGCACTGCTCGCCTACGGTAAGTATCGCGGCTCGGACTCAGGGGTGAAGCTGCGGCGGGTGCTGCTGAAGGAGGCATGCGAGAGGGTGGGGGGGTGGGGAGACTGGAGAAAGGAGAATCCGCTACACTGGTCTCTCAGCCGCCCCTCCCCGCTTGGCGGCTCGGGCTGCAGCCCGAATTACCTCCAGCTCCCAAGCCTCTGGCGGGAGCGGAGGCTGCGAGCCTGGCCCTGGGGACAGAGCCCGGCCCAGGAAAAAGGCAGGGGTTGGGGGGGTGTCGTAGCTCCAGTCCTCTCCGGGTTGGAAAGAGGGGTCCAAGCCCGAGAGTCTGCGGGCGTGTCTGCCCACGGAGATCTATAGGGGTCCGCTAGATCGGGCCAAGTCCGCGCTGCCCCGGGTCCCCACCCCTTGCTCCCCCGCAGCAGGCGAGGCTGGGAGCTGTTGGGATCCTTGGGGACCGCGTCTTCCCTCGACCCTGGCGCGCGGGCCGGTGCGGGGCCGCGCCACCCGCTGCCTGCTGCCTGCTGCCTGCAGCGGTCCTCGCGAAGGGAAGTGGACTGACAGGGGCCCGGGGAGCGGCGGCGGCTCCCCCGCCCGCGGTCCTGTGAGCTGCATCTAAATGGCCGGCTTAGCAAGCCGGGGGCGGGGGTCTGAGCGGCCGGCGCAGACCAGGGCCGCGGGCGGTGCGCGGAGGGAGCGGGCTCGGCGCTCTGCAATCTGTTGCGTCTACTCCCCAGGCTCGCCCCCGGCTCCGCTGTAAAGGGGGTAAGGGAGGGAGAGGGCAGGGTTGGCGCTCTTTGGCAGTGGGACAGTGGGTGTACGAGTGGGGGACAGAGGGTCTCTAAGCAGCCTCCCAGAGTGGGAGCTGGGACCCGACGGGAGGAGGTTGCAGCCGGCCTTCCGCAAGCTGGAGGCGGTCCAACAAGACGAGGGGCGCTAACCGAGGTGGGAGTGGGAGAGCCAGGGTGGGGTGGTGGTGGTGAAGAACGGCCCTCTGTCCCCTCCCAACGTAAAACCACCAGTCCTGGGGCAAGTTTCTCCCAACCAGCGAGGGGGAGGGAGCTTCGATGCCCCACTCCAAGGGATGAGTCTCAGACAAGATACAGAGGGGCTTACAAAGCCTCCTCTGGTCGCTTTAGAAGAGAGGTGAGTGGGATTTGCGCGTTGGTGGAGGACCCTCAATGCGTTGTGCTCAGCCATTGCCCAGATCTACCCAAGCCCTCCATGAGGGCGACAAAGGTCTCCAACCAGCGGCCTCTCTCACCCTGACCAAAGCATGTTCTCAGGGTAGAAATAATAAGAAAAGGCGTTGGCCTTGGAAATTATAGGGTTGCTAGGAGTCGGAATCAACTTGACAGCGGTGGGTTTGGTTTTTTGGTTTTGGTTTGGGGCTAGAAGGGGAGAAGGGAGCAGACTGGCCTGTCTCTGTGGGTGGACTGGTTCTTCCCAGTTGGGGATGAGGCCAGGGGAACTGTTTTCTCTCCCCAGCGCCAGCTAGCCTCAGTTCTTTATCTGAGGAATGGGCAGGGCAGCGTGCCAGTGAGGGGAGTGATAGCGCAGCAGGGAACCAGAAATCCTGGCTCCTTGTGCAAGACTGAGGATGGGAAGGAAGTGGGGAGGTAAGCTGCATGTCTGCTTGCTGGAGCTATAGAGGCTGCCTTGTGACCCAGCCCTGAGAGTAGAGGTGGGGGTACCTGGTCAGGAGGAAGCCGGTTGAAGCTGGGACACTCAGGCCTGGATCTAGGCTGGTTCTTATGTCCACATGCTGCCAGAGTTCCTTTCTTAAAACCCAGCCCTGGCAGACCTCTGGGCAGCTCAGTCACTGTCATTAGGTCCCCATTGCCCACCTTCCTGATCTCTCTGCCTGGTATGAAAAGATCCTTTCCCTTCCTCACCTGCCAGAACCCTCCCTGCTTCCCAGGACCCAGTTCGAGCTTCTTTTTGCATCTTAGCAGTCTGTCTCATTTTCTAGCAAGGTGTCAGTGCTTCTCTGTGCGCTGCTGGTCCTCAAGCAGTTGAGGCACCCAGTGCTCAGCACAGTGCCTGGCACTGGGGCCCCGCATGACATGAGGGAAGCTGTTTGAGACAGTGGGGCATGGGTCCCTTGATGAGTAGACATTCCCCCTCCTGATGATCCAGCTTCCTTTCCAAGCTCCTTCCCTGAGTTCCGAAGTCTCTTCCCCATCCCCTGCCCCAGCCTTCCCTTCCTCAGAGGAGGGTGCTAGCAGATGCTTAAAGCTTCTGGATCCCCCAGATGGAAAAGGCCAGAGTAACGGAAGCCCTGTCAACTCCCCATGTCTCCTAGGCCTTCCTCCTACAGGGCTGCCTGGCGCCTGTCCACCCGACCCTTCCCTCTGTCAAAAAAAGGGCACATGGACTTTGTCTCACTTCAGGCTAACTCTTGGTTGGGGTTTCTAGGCTGTTCGAAGATGCTGGGGGCGGGGGATAGTTGCAGTTTTCTGTGTCTGGCAGGCTACGGAGGCCGCAGGGTTCTGACCACACAGCCAGACTGGGAGCCAAGTAACCTGGGTCTCTGTCTGACTCTGATGCCACTGGACAGGGTGACCCTGGGCCGCCTCCCTTGTGTTCTCATCTTCCAAAAACAGCGTGGTCCCTGCTCCATCTCACTTCTGCCCTTTCTCACTTTCTGCCAGGGCTGCTGGGCAGATGCCATGTGTGAATGGAGGACCACTGCCTTTCAAGCTGGGGGAGTGCCTAGGGCCCCCCTACACTACTCCCAGCCTCAAGGCTTCCCCCAGAGAACATCTGTGAAGGCCATTTTCTTGCATCTGGTCTTTGGGGAGGCTCTCTGCCCCCATTTTTAGCTTGAATAGGAGTTTAAGGGGGCAGGGTGGTGATTAAATCTATTGGAGAGCTGATTATGTCAGCCCCCTACTCAGGAACCTTCAGTGACTTCCACTGCCTACAGGATCAAGGATACACTCTTTGTCCTGCATTCAAGGCTCTTTATAGTCTTGTCCCAATCTTCATCTTCAGTTCCATGCCACTGCCTTCTCTCCACCCTCTGTGCACCTTAAGAGGTCTCAATCTTCTCATTTTTCTGCCTTTGCATCCACCAGCCCCTCCGTCTGGAATACCCTGCCTCCAGAAATCCTTACCTAGCCTTCTACAAAGATCAGTTCAAATATCACCTCCTCCATGGAGTCTTCCTGGATTTCTCCCTGGTTTCTCACCAGCAGCCCTCACCCCCAGTAGAAGTACTTGATCTTCCTTTCTTGGCAATTCATCCGGCCCCTCTGACACTCGTTGCAGGCTGCAGTGTGCGTTTGAAGGGTGTGCAGGTGCGTGTTTACATGAGCACTCCTCTCTGCATCCCCACATACTTGCATTTAGGGCAGGAGCCATGCCTTATCTGTTTATGCCCCACTGTGCAGTGCTTGACGCTTAGTAGCTGCTCAGAAGAAATGAATGGGGTGGGAGGACAACTCTGTAATAGGGGAGCCCCACCCAGTGTCAGTTGAAAGGGGACCTCTGAGGTGTGGAGCAGAAGAGAGGAAGGGGACAGACAGAGACACCAGAAGAGAGCAAGGGGATGGGGCAGAGAGCATGGCTCCTGGATGCACGACGCTGCTATAGCTCTTGAGTGGCACATACAAGATACATCTGTCTTAGGTGACACGTTATAACATAGTCTCAGTGTATGAATGTGGTGTCCCAGGTCTCTCTGTGAACACATGATTTCAAACTCATGTGTCCTCATCTCTCTGCTCCCCAGCTTGGCAAACCTTGAGTTTCTCCTCTGGGTTGTTTTCATTCTTCCCTCCCTGATCATCCAAGCTCTGGGTCCCTTTGGAGAGGGAGAAGGGACACAGCAGGAGGACAGGGTCAGTGCCAGGCCTTGGCAGTCCCCTCACTGCTGGGAGTGAAGAGTGACGCTTGCCTCCCTTCTCCCACACCCATCTTCCTGCTGGCCACACGGACCCGTATGCCACAAACAGCCTTGTTAATGTTTAAGACCAGTAGGTGGGGATGTGTTATAAACTTGGTGGCAGAAAATGAGCTTCATTGGAATCCATCCCGAGGAGGGTCATACTTGGCTGCGGGAGATAAGGCCACTTTGGAATACCAGAGCCAGACCTGGCCATCCTGTAGACCCTCACTGGCAGCCTGTCTGGAATGGACAGACCCCAAGCCTGAGATTGGCAGTGAATGCTGGCGTTGCTACAGAAAGCGAGACCCTGAGGGGCACCAACTCCAATGACTAGGGTATGGTCCACCCACCTGAGGCAGAGCTGTGTGTTTTGGGGGGCAGGTCTCACTTTGTTGCCCCTTACTGAATGATATCCACGGTGAACTGAAAGAAACCACAGAACTACCACATCCCGCCCTTGTATGGAGGAGGATATGGACACACAGGGAGGGGAAAGGACTGGCCAGGGTCACTCTGCAAGTTAGTTCTAGAATCAAGACTAGAAGCAGATCCCTGATGCCCCATCACAAACGGGGTCCCTTGATTAGCAGTCTGCTCCAGGCCCTCACAGGTATTCCACCATCTCTGTGATCCCTGCTCTCTGGGGATTCTTCCAGAGATGCTCTTGGGTCTCAAGCTAGACTCTGGTCCCGAGTGGTCAGGATAAGCACCAGTACTGTTCACAAACCTTACCAAGCACTGCAGAGGGAACATGGAGGGGTTTCACACCTAATCTATCTTCCTTTCCTGAGCTCAAAGCCAAGCTGGGGAGATGAGACAAAACCCCAGATTCTTGAAATTCAAGGCAGTGTGAAATCACCAAGTCCTTGGGATACAGAAGTTGTCATTAGCTGCTCTTGAGTCTCCCCCAACTCATGACAACCCTACACACGACAGAATCGAACCCTTGTGATCCATGGGGTTTTCACTGGCCAATTTTCAGAAGTAGATCATCAGGCCTTCTTCCTAGCTCGTCTTAGTCTGGACACTCTGCTGAAAGCTGTTCAGAGTCACAGCATTACACAGGCCTCCACTGACACTCAGCTAGTGATGAGGTGCGTTGCCTGGGAATCAAACTCAGGGCTCCT